AATAATCTGTACACAACAGTGGACATTCTCCCGGAAGAGGACGGGAACGAGGATGCCGAGGATGATATATCTGTGGACCTCGCCCAATCACTACCGGAACTGACTATATCGCAACGATTTTTTGACCAACTGAAGAAGGAAAAAAAAGTTTTTTCGTCCTTTATCTGCAGGCCGTTTTCAATTTGGTCCCGTAAATGGACCGTTTTTAGAAATAGTCCCCTAACTGAAAAAAAAAAATTAGTTTTTTGGTCCTTTGACCGCCAAAAGCAGGTCACAGTGACCTGCTACGCCTACGTGGAAATGCGCTCATTTTTTTTTTTTTTTTTGCTGAGTTGTATGCTTAGATGGCGATTATATATCCACCAATATCGTTTTATCTAATTTATATTATTCAATTTGTACTACTTTTATATTTTAATAATTTTTTTATAGTAAATAAATAGTATTTAATTATTTTCTAAATAAATATTTAACGTATTTAATTAAATTAATTTTAATATTAAATAAATATTTATAAAAGAAATGAATAAAATAAATAATATAATAAATAATAAGTTTAACAAATAAATAAATATATTAAATAATATAATAAATAATATTACTTACCAAAAGAATAAATACATTAAATAATATAATGTATAATATTTACCAAATAAATACATAAACTAAATAGTATAATAAATAAATAATTATTTACTAAATAAATATGTAAATTAAATAATATAATAACATATATAAAATAAATATAATAAATAATATGATTAAATTTTATTTATATATTCAAAATATTTTTGCTAAATAATAAAATATATTAAATAATGTAATAAATAATATGTTTAATAATATAATTAATTTTTATTTGTGTATTAAATAAATATTGATCCAATAAATAAATTTATTAAATAATATAAGAAATAAACAAATCTTTGCTAAATATATACATCTATCAAATATTAAATAATACTAATAAATAAATATACTAAATAATATAATAAGTAATAATATTTACCAAAATAATATATATTAAATAATATAACAAATAATAATATTTACCAAATAAATAAGTATGATAAATTGATTTAGTATATTGAATAAAATTTATTTACTAAAATAATATTTAGTAAATAATTAGCCTCCACTTTTTGTGTGTACAGGATGCTGTGATTTTAAATAATATTAATTTACTATTAATAAATAAATATATAATTTGGTAAATAATATTTACTAAATAAATATTAATTATTACTATACTATTTAATAATATTAAATATTAATAAATATATCAATTATATTATTTAATATTATTTAACATTCTTAAATAAAAATTAAATAATTTATTAAATAAAAATTATTTAGTTTATTTAATTAAAAATTATATAAATGAAAATTAATTAAAATTGTATTAATATTTAATTTTATTAAATAAATTATTTAATATTATTATTTATTATATTTTATATTACTATTTAAATATTGTTTCAAAATTAATTTTGTAAAAATTATTATTTATTATATTATTTACATATTTATTTATTATATTATTTAATATATTTAATTTTATGGGTAATATTTATTATATTATTTACATATTTAATTATTATATTATTTAATATATTTTTTTTGGTAAATATTTATGTAATATAAAAATCAAATTTATTATACTATTTAATTTTTATTTATTTAGTTTTTAAATATTTATTTATTTATTATACTATTTAATATATTATTTTATTTGGTCATTATTATTATTTAATGTATTATTTAATATATTTATTTATTTGGTAAATATTTACTTAAAATACAAATAAAATATAATTATATTATTATTATTTAATGTATTATTTAATATATTTATTTATTTAGTAAATATTTACTTAAAATACAAATAAAATATAATTATAATATTTAATATTTTTATTTACTATATTATTGAATATGTTTATTTAGTATAATTATTTAATTTATTTATTTATTTTATAAGTAAGTTATTTTATGTATTATTATTATTTTATATTTGTATTACTATTATTATTATTATTATTATTATTATTATTATTATTATTAATAATAAAAGTAGTACAAATTGAATAAAATAAATTAGATAAAACGATATTGGTAGATATATAATTGAAGTTAAATAGTTAACAAATTGTGTGCTAGCTCAAGTGGTCCATGAGTTCTTTTACTCCCCTATTGAACATGTGTTCGAATCCCCTTGTCAACATATTTTTTACAATTATACAATTATGCCATATAATCGCCACCTAAGCATACAACTCAGCAAAAAAAAATAGCGCATTTCCACGTAGGCGTAGCAGGTCTCTGTGACCTGCTGTTGGCGGTCAGAGGACCAAAAAACTAATTTTTTTTTCAGTTATGGGACTATTTCTAAAAACGGTCTATTTACGAGACCAAATTGAAAA